TTTTGACTATCTGGAATGTGAGTTGTTGTCGAGTCTTCTTGGGTTGCCCAGAGAAGGTGACAGTCTGGTGTACGATGTGAGCGAGAAGATTCCACAACGACGAATGCGAGATTCAGCCTTGGCGAGTATCGTGGATTACGATGCGTTGGAGAGGAGACGTGTGTTTAGAGAGAGTAAGGTGGAGTGTGAAGTTTGCATGGATGCGGATAAGTTGGGAGCGGAGTGCACACGATTGAGTGGATGTGAACACGTGTTCTGTCATGAGTGCCTTCGGGAGGCGCTGAAATACCACATGGCGGATGGCGTGACTGCAGGTACCTTCCGGTGTTTGGGATGCAACAGCCTGGTTGATTTGCATGAGGTAAGATTAATATTTGTGATGTAGTTGGTTTTTGCCTTACATTGTGTTAGATGGGGTCGGATTGGACCATGAATCACACGGTTTTAGGTCGTTGTTAAGTCGATGTTTGTTTTGTTTCTACGCGCTTGGACGTTCACAGCAGTTTGATCGTTGAATAGAGTTTTTAAATTGTACTTTCAATATTTTGTGTAAATTTGAAGTTCCCTGTGGAATTATTATCCTTGTTTCATGGTTCATTTGAAGGGGGCAGTTATCTTTCCAGTTATGACGCACATTTTTTCTTTGTGGATTTAGCTAGATCCAACCACATAGGATCCTGTCATTGACGCGTATTGGAAGCAAATTTACCGAAAGAGTCTGTCGAACGGCGGTCAAACACGCCGAAAATCACGCTAATCCGAATCGACCCGTTCACAACCAGCAAACCGGGAAGACCGGGAATGACCTCGCGATTGCACCCAGCACTTGTTTGCGGGTAATATAAGTGGACACTTGAGGTGTGTTTTAAACCATGGTGACAACTGATTGTGGCTATTGAAATGGAATCTACCCATGGAGTATTAGAACGCCGATTGAGGGAGTCACGCCTTGGTGACTTCGTCGGCATTGTCGTTGAAGCAGACTCGGCTAAGTCTCTCTCGATGTGACTGTTATGCTTCTGGTAGATTCATTGTGTGCCGTTGTGTTGTTTGTCGTGCTAAGTGATTGCAGAATCACGCCATGCTTGGAGTCGAATGCCACGGTTTCTCACATCGGCGTAAATAATAAGCTGATAATCGATAAGCAATATGTTTTTTATCAGCGACGTTAGTGAGTAGGCAGTCAGCCTCCGACCGTCACAAAAGTGATTGATATTTAGCTCTGGATTGTTGCTGTGTTTTACATGCCTGAAGTGTGTTTGTGCGTGTGAAGCACCTTGACGCGAATTGAAAATAGACAGTTCCATTGAAGGATTATGGAGAACAGCGGTCAAACACGCGAAAAATCACGCTGATCCGAATCTACGTTTTCACAACCACCAAATCAAGACGACTTGGGAATGAAATCTCCTCTTTAATTATGAAGACTAGTCGGGAATGTGGACAATACTTGTTTGCAGGTCACACAGATGAACGCGGGGAGCGTGTCGTCACAGAGAACGATGATCACTGGTCGTTTTTATGACTTAAATCGAGTTTGACTTTGCTGTGTGGTCGTCGTCTTTGGACCAGATCCACCTTGTGGAAACGGTGATTGTAACTTTAGCTTTCTCACTACCTGCGCCAACACGAAAGTGCTTGCAGGGTGTGCCGGCGTGCTTACCTGAGAGGGCTTTGCTTGTCGTGTTGAGTGATTGCACAATCACGCCACGCTTGGAGCCGGATGCCACGGTTTCTCACAACGGCATAAGTAGTAACCTGGTGTTCGGTAAGGAGAAAGCTTGTCATTAACGACGTTGGTGAGCAGGCTGTCGACCTCCGCTGGTTACAAAAGTCAAAGACATTTAGCTCTTGCGGAGTTGAGTGGTTTTTGTGCATTCGTGCTTGGGACATGGAGGCATTGAGTATCCCTTTGGCGGGTTTACGTTAATACGGGGTTATTTGTGGCGAATTGACGTGTGTGATTTACTAAATGAAAGGTGAAGGAGTTTGCGACCCCGGAGCAGTACGAGCGATACGACGAGCTCCTGCTGCAACGCAGTTTGTCGATGATGGAGGACGTGGTGCGTTGTCCGCGCGCGGGATGCAGTGGCACTTGCCTGGCTGACGACGAGTACTTGGCTCGCTGCCCCGTTTGCCAGCACTCCTTCTGCCCACGGTGTCTGCGGCCAAACCACCGTGGAACTGCGTGCAAACAGGAGGCCACTGTGGATGGCGGTGAGAGCGACGACGAGGAAGAAGAGGAAGACGATGCCGATGACAAAGGTGAGTGTGCCGTCGACATGGTTTGGCATTAGTGCCAGTGGAATCGGGTGTCGCGATGGTGTGTAATGCGTGACGACGCACTAGGGGGTGAGGTGGGTAGTGGCTTGGCATGAAGGTGTTGAAGAGTGGAGTCTAATTTGGTGAAATTGATCGCAGACAGTCTGTTACCAGTGTCCATGTCCGCGTCATTGGATGTGAGGATACAGTTTGCCATTGGCTGGGAGAGCAGGTATTCATTGAGTTTAGTACATCTGGATGTTTGAAGTGAGCGTTTTCAAGTTCGCGTCCAGAAGGTGCTTCACCGTTCTTCATTGCCTTGTACTCGATTTATGTCGCACTTTGGAGGAATTGAACGGCTTTGATGGGTAAATTGCGCCTTATCCAACGCGGTCCGCAGTCTGTGCCTGTGGTGGTGTGTCCTCGTTTGCGATTTGGTGGATGGAAGAAGGTCAGGTTGAGGAGATAGTGGATGGTTTGTTTGTCAAGACGATGCGTTGCACAGGTGCGTGGCATAAGAATGTATCTGCCGGTATTTAGCAGTGCTGCAGCTACGATGCTAGTTTTGTTTAACGCGGTTTTGCTGTAGGCGACAGTTAGTTAGTTTCGAAGCTGTGTCGGTGTTGTTAGAATGGGGAATTTGTAGGTCCTTAGTGGTAACCGGTGTTGTGCACAATTAGTGTCAGTCGACAATTTCACGTGGCAAATAATTTCCTACTTCGAAAGGGGCATGTAGTCTTTAAATTTGCATGTATGCCTCTTTTTAAAGACGAAGAGGGACGCCTGCTGTGGAGGATCGCGCATGAACAGGATCCAGCAAAACGCATGCTGCTCCTGGAGAGGCAGGTGCTCGTGTTGGGCCGACCCACTGAGGATGTAGTGGCTTTTAATAGGTTCAGGAAAACCTACAGGAATCGTTGTCCAACTTGTAGAATCTTCGTCGAGGTGAGTCGGTGCTTTCGTGCTGCAAAATCTTTTATCGCAGAAGTAGTGTAACACCTGACTGGATTTCTGTATTTGCTAAGTCTGAGGGCAGAGTTATAGGCAGTCTTACCACGTTATCGTGCATTTTTTCCTTCATGAAAGTCCACATGTTAGCGAACTTATTAAAGGTTTCTCGGACTTGAAAAAAAGCGTGATTGATTGCCCTTTCATGAAGGAAAGTCCACACGTCAACTAACTTATTAAAGGTTTCTCGGACTTGAAAAAAAGCGTGATTGATTGCCTTGACCCCTGACACAAATACCCTCTCTTTTCCTCTCATTTAGAAAGTCGATGGATGCAATAGTGTCTTCTGTCCAATCTGTAACAAAGAATTCATATACGGGCTTCAGGAAGCTCGATGTCAACCTGACCCCTCGCCATGATCCCCCTTTCTACGCAACAATTTCCTTGTTATAACTTTTTGCTATTTTGAACTATGAAAAGGAAAGACTTTGTCCAGGTTTTATGCCTGTTTGAGCTTATTTTGCCTGCAAATGTAGAACAAGACCATTAGAAGGTGTGTGGGCGACGTTCGACGGAGTGGCGTGCAGTCCAACCAGAGAAAGGGACCTGACAATGCACAGCCAGTTTATTAAAAGATAAAAATAAACTAACGGGAAATAAGAGAAGTGAGTTTAAAAAGTCACCGGTGTCGGTTGGCCCTGTCGGTCGTGGCTACTTGTGTCTGTGTAGTGGCATTCACGGTTACTGTGGCGATGGCAGGAAGGAGGTTGGAGGCGGCAACAAGTCGGCACAAACTGGGTATCGCGCGGGCGTTGCGCATCAACAAGACACGCCCGTTTTCGTACTCACGGCGAGACACGAAGAGGGAGATGTCAAAGTCCGAGGGCAACGGGTTCGCGGCAGCAGCGGTGTTGGCCGTCTGGGTGGTTGTCTGGAGTCGGAGACGGATGGTGCGCACGGCTGAAGCGAGGGCGTCTAGTGGCGCCTCTGGGGGGCTCGTGGAAGCGGACGCCGAACCGGTGCCACTTTGCGGCTGTCCAACTTGAGGGGATGCCTCAGCGTGGCTAGCGGCCCACTGCGGTAGCTGATCGTCACGGCCAACGAAACTGTGAGTGGGCGGACACAAGAGGTTTTCCAGAAGCATCTACAATGAGCGTAATGAATGCAACCAAGAATCCTGTGCATTGACAAGGTTAAAAAGAGTAAGTGCTCAAGGCCTGAAGCAGACGCTAACTCTTTGGAGTTGCGACTTGTGAAGGTAGAGTTCAGAGGAGGCCCTTCAACGAAGTTGCGTGTGATCGACAAATGGGCAAGCATTTGGAAGCAGAGCCAACGATCTGACTAAAAGTGTTGCACATGAGCGACAACATTAACTAAGCGTCGTCAAGTTGTGACGTCCCGGTTGGTGTACGCAAGCACTCAAAACGGTAAAATTTCACTCTCAAATTCTCTGCAGCGGCTGTGTAGAATGCGCACCCATCGAATATGCATCAAGACGGACATGTAGTCGGTTGTTCATTGAGTTATGGGCATTTGAAGAAGCTTTCATCACTTAGAAGTCATCAGCATGTGGTCTTGAAAGACGCCGTGGCCACGTATTTAACCCTGTCTCGATTACGCTTCCCTGATACCCGCGGTGAAGAAAAAGACCGGAGAGGACGTGGACACAACTGTTTACTTCAGAGCTGAACCACGTTGGTGTCGCGGTGCCCTGTGTGGGGTTTTCGTGTGCGTATTTATACCTCAGATGCGTGAGTCATAGATCCACTAAAATCGAGACCTAGGTGTGAGAATGTTCCAAGAATGAGGGGGAGTTGAGGATCCGCCGAGGGGCTCACGATATACTGCGAAAAGGGAAACCCCGTGTCGGAGAGTTGAGCGACTGAATTAAGGAACGCGGACAAGCACTATTCAAGAAAATTACTTCGTGTCACTCCAAATAGGCGCATATTTTCACATTATGGCATTCACCGTCATTTCACGCAACAACGACCAAGCTATTCAAGTTTAAGCGTAGCTTCGTTTACAACGGGGTTATTTTAATCGGTGAAAATGTGTATCGGCTTCGTGAGCACTACTTTACAGCCACCTTGTTGACGGGCTTCGACAATCCGAGATGAGAGGCAAAAGACATGATATTGAATGCAACAATTGTTGTGGATTGAACGCCCAAGTCCTTTACAGCAGGGCGGGTGAGTGAATATATACTGAAAACCACATATCTGCAGAATTTGACTCACAGGGTGATAATTTACAGGCGAAACATGCATCACAAACTTTGTTTGGTGGAGATGAATTAATGTCAACTGTAAAATAATGTGACTACCAATTTGAGAAGAGAATCGTAAACCTTAATCGGATATTTGATTCATTAAGGAGTCTGGCGACGAAAGTTCAAACAGGTATTAGAAACGTTTGACGTCTTTCTACGCCGCCTGCTTATTTAGGTATTTGACAACTCTGGTCAGCAAAAGTGACTTGAATCAACAGTTTACGCTTATTTATACTAAAGTCTTGACGGAGAAAATAATTCTTCTATTTCAAGCAAAGCATTATGCCAATAAACAGAAAACTTCGCCTTTCTACCATTAAAAGCTTACACACCAAACTGCAGTGGCTTCCTTAATAATCATTCCCTTCCGCATCATTGCCGAAGTAATTACATCTCAGAAAAACCGACAACTGCGAAGGCTGGACAAAGTTTTGTTTGCAGATGCTAATTTATTTACTATCTCTGCACTCCTGGAGTCGGAAAGCCAAAATACTCTCAAAAACGAATAATTAACAGCATTCTGTACGTCAGCCATGATGAAGGTTTAATATAATTCTTATGCAACAGGTATCTTTAACATCGAGCAAAATAGATACGAAGGCGCATAGTAAATCTACCATTGCGCAAGATGTGCATAAAAAATTAGTTCAGATTCCGATTTTGGTAGATGTGAGAATGGATCCAAGCAAACCATTGGGAACCCGTTTCCCTTGAGTTTAAAGAATAAAATGATTATTCTTGCTTACTGTAAGGCAGAAATCTAACAGACCGAAGACCAATGATCTTGACCAGGGTCATAAGTTAAATTGCAAAAAGCATTCTCGGCCTTTTCGATAATACCTTGGAATTTAATAACTAAAATTTCTGCAAGACGGCTTTTGATAGTTAAGGTTGTTGTTCAACAAAACTTAATGGTACCCTTGATGCAGGCATCCATCCGACAAAATACACCAAATTTCGTCCAAGTTTATTTTTAACCTTGAAAACTGTGGAATTTACTGTTGGTCAAATCATAATTCGGTTGGGGTAATGATGTACTGGACCACAATCGGGAATCAATCATTAAGATTATGTCATTTTGCATTAAGGGAGCCTAACGTTTTTCATTCCTCCACCTAAATGTCTAGTTAAAGTGATTCTTGGTAATCAACATCCACCAGCATTTTTGAATTTATATAGTTGAATGCTGTAGAATGGCCGAACCCCGGTATATTGAGAACTGGTTCGCCAGATCAGGCTTTATTGACTAACCACAATCTTGAACTACTCGTTCGACACCGTACACCCGAGTCCATCACGCTGGCTGATCGACTCATTTTGTTCCACTTCGCAAGCATATCTGTCTTTGGTTGGCTGCCAATCTTCCTCGGATGCCATTGGAACCTAAACAAACAGAGAATTGAACGAGGCAAGCGTGGTCCAGTGTGTCTGGGCACTCATGCGTCGCTACACAGTGTAGAATGAGGAGGACTAGTAAGACTGAAGAGGCTTCATTGACCAGCCACAATCCAGAATCACACATTAATCAGCTTCTGGCTTGGTTCACCGCACTGTTCATGATTGTTAAAATATCCAGTTCGACACAAACCGCACCACGCATCTGGCAGGATAGTGACTAATGCGAGTAGTTGACGAGGGACTTTGCTCTATTAGACTTGCAGGAAGGACTCTTCATCCATCGAAGGTCCCTTCGCAATTGCAGTCCAGCTGGCTTCTATTGTCCATGTCGTCGCCGTTGCGTTGCCAATGTCTCTTCAGATGCGGCAGTCCTAATTCCGGGCACTGTCTATGGATCCAGTATATTGGACATCGGATGATAGCCACACAAATTCAGCTGGCATTCAATGGTCTTTGACTCTGTCGACCATAAAAGAGAAAGAGTAGGGGTTCGATTCGCGTAATTCGAACGCATCCGCTGCCACCAGTGTAGAAAACCCGAGCCCTAATAAGAAATAGACTGGTACAACAGAACAGGCTTTATTGACCAGTCAGAAGCCAGGGCCGCACGTCAGGCGCCTTCCATCCGAGTCCCTCACGCTGGCCACGCCGCTCCTAATAGACTCCTCCTCGGTCGTGTCCTTCTCTGGTTGGCTGCTTACCTTCCTCGCATGCCATTGGAACGCAGAGGGACACAGGATTGGCTGCGGCTAGGTGGTCCAATATGTCTGCGCCCTCATCCGACGCCACTGTAGAATACCCGAGCCCTAATAGGTAAAAAACTGGTACAACAGAACAGGCTTTATTGACCAATCGGAAGCCAGAGCCACGCGTCAGGCGCCTTCCATCCGAGTCCCTCACGCTGGCCACGCCGCTCATTATATACTGCATCTCATCCATGTCCTTCTCTGGTTGGCTGCCTATCTTCCTCTCATGACATTGGATCGCAGAAAGACACGGGATTGGCTGAGGCCAGGTGGTCCAACATGTCTGCGCCCTGATCCGACGCCACACCACACCACACCACACTAAACTGCAACTGCGTCGTATTTCCTGCGTCATATCTACCACTCCAAAATATTTTCAGCTGACAGCAAGGCATAAAAGGATTGTCGCTATTGCCTGAATAGCAGAGAAAACGTCACTTCATTTTTGTATGTTTCAGTAAATTCAGAATATCCCTTTTATTTGTGACAGTGTTACCAATAAACGTCAGTGCTTTTTTCCATAATTTCTGTCTTACATTAATAGAGTTAACAAGGATCTAAACGCTCCCGAATTATTTCACAATGTCACAATTGGAAGAGCTTGAAAGCCTAACTGTCATATACAAGCCCGAAGATTTCCAATTTGTCAGGGACACCACAACCTCCTTGATTACTGGATGGTATTATGCTCATCCCAAACTGCCTCAAAGGACTCCTACATTGCAGGCGAGGATCCGTGTCACGTCACAGATTACGAAGCTGTTTCCTTACACACACCCGCAACTTAAACGGCTCGATGGCGCGTTGTACAAGGTATATTATATTGAACATCCACCTCCACTCCTAGTAAAATTTACGCTACCTCAGGGTTATCCTGAAACAGAGGCCCCTTTGCTGCGGCTGGAATGTTCGTGGATTCCGCCACTTTACTTGGACGAGGTTGTTTCGCGGCTGAATGCATTCGCGAGCTGCAAGATCGGAGAACAGTGTCTGTGGGAGTGTTTTGACTATCTGGAATGTGAGTTGTTGTCGAGTCTTCTTGGGTTGCCCAGAGAAGGTGACAGTCTGGTGTACGATGTGAACGAGAGGATTCCACATCGACGAATGCGAGATTCAGCCTTGGCGAATATCGTGGGTTACGATGCGTTGGAGAGGAGACGTGTGTTTAGAGAGAGTAAGGTGGAGTGTGAAGTTTGCATGGATGAGGATAAGTTGGGAGCGGAGTGCACACGATTGAGTGGATGTGAACACGTGTTCTGTCATGAGTGCCTTCGGGAGGCACTGAAATG